ACAAGTTGAAAGAGATTAGCTGTCACATCTTGAGATTATTTCTTAATATGACAGCTTGATAGATAATCAGTAGCCTGAATAACTTCAAAAGCTTAGAATACCTATCGGTGCTTTATGTAAAATTTATAATCTGAATAACATTATCAAAAATTGATTTTAAAAATTTATCGATTATTATTGATTTATTAAGCTTTCACTACATTCTATGATGCAGAATAATATTTTATTTCGCTAGGAATCGACAGGGATATGATGAGGCTTCAACTGCAACTTTAAAATCCAATCCTAGTAGTAGTAAAGATACGGATAGAAAGTCATCAACAAGATTAAGTAACAAAATCTAATTGTTTTTTTATCATAACCACGTATGACAGTAATTATCTAGATGAATAATCATAATTTATATCATGGATATCTTATATCCAGGCGCCACTATAGAGCCCAGAGCAAGTTCAATTTGTAATTAGGTATTATAATTAAGATACTTCGTTCTGAAATTCCTATTTGTTATGTTTCATATAGATGCAGCATCTTTCTCTTACATTAGTGAGAATTATGAAGAGTGTGTTGCTACTAATTCTATTATATATATATAGTGACATATATATTATTATAAAGATTCAGTACTTATATCAAGTTATTGATCATAAAATTTTTAAATTGCAAAATAATACGCAAATTTCAATTATTAGATTAGATCATCTAGATTTTATTCGATTTACATTATTGTCACCTACGAATAAAGCATATTTACTGGTAATTAATCACAAAGATGTAAAAACTTGTTGTAACTCCACATTTCCATCAGGCTATATCTGTAGCTACAGCCTCAATGTTATTTCGTCTTATTGAAAGACTCTGATAACATATGGAAAATAAAACGATAAAACAACTTAAAGTATTATAAATACTTCGATTAAGGATATTGGTTCATATATGAACCAAGTCATTGATGATATATCTCATGAAATATTGAGATTAAATAGTTTAAAACGCAAGATTTGATTTTATGAAGCTGTTAAATTATTACAGCATACAGATTACGACAGCTTACAAGATGGATACAGCATTCAAGGCTGTAACGAGTATGCAATAGTCTCCCACTATTACTGTAGGTTTACTTACGTATCCCCAAATTTTAGCTAACAAAACTGAGTAATTCTCTAATGTGATACACGAATATTTGGCTATCAGATACTATCTTGACTGAAGAATCCTCATCTCATACTAGAAGCAGTATATGTGCGCCGTTTTATTCTATTGGCCACATACTGCGCTACTGTAACTAACTGAGATCATAACAGTGACATTATGGTTAACTCATCCTGTAAAAACTCGTGCTTTCGATACTTTTAAGGAGATAAAGTGATAAAATAGAGCAGGCATAAATAGTCGATATGATCCTGTAGCAGTTGCCTACTGTATATTCCTCCTTTTTTGACTTGAGTTAAACTTGCTATAGCAAAGTAATATATAGTGATAACTACATAATCAAGTATAACCTCTAAAATTTGGTATTTCTCGAGCAAGATATTGATTTCGATGCCCAGACTGGTCTATAAATAACAAGATGCACGGCTGTGTAATAAACGAGTACAGTAACTATGAAAAGAGTCTCATTTAGCTATTAAGTTCTTCATTCTTAATATGGCTAACTTATCGAGGCTCGCAAATCATTAACAAATACCTTAATAGCTAATTTTCATCGTGATTATTGTGCCTACTATCAAGAGTATCTAAGAGGAATCAATATTATTTACGAATATTTTTTCAAAATATTATTGCGACTGGTAAAGATGCAGGAAATAAGTCTTCACAGTAAGCGGAAGCTAATGAACAGTCTTGCTTTGTAGTAAGCTTTTTGTTAAATAAATATCTTACGTCAGACTTCTAGCAATAAATCAGTTTATGAAACATAATTAAAATTTTCTGCACTCGGAAATATCGATTTTGCTGGATAAAGTAACTATTGCATAATTACACTGATTTGTTTGCTTTTAAGACTGTTGGTCAATAACGGTTCTTAAAGCTGAAAACTAGGTACATAGTAGAGATTTGAAGCTTTTGAAGTACTCTTTATGCTTCTTTATCACGGCCTCCATCACTTAATTACCTCATTAATAATCAATTAGATTATATTTTAAGATATTTATAATGAATACTAAATAATATTGTGATAGGTATTCATTCCATGAAACAAAGGCAAAAGATAGGGTAACGCTGAACGAACGCAAAATAATAGAATATAAAAAATTATTATAATTATAATTAATACATAACAGAAATAAAAAGCAATAAAAAAAGACCATCAGATCACAAATTTTTATATATTTCTTATTGGTATTATATCAGTGTAATGTAACTTAGTATTGTGATTGTAGACTGTTAGCCATGTGTAGTATAATGTACGGTAGATATTTATCCTAAGAGATATTTGGTAGCTGTAACTATAGACTGTAGTGGTAGAGACTCTATACTAGAGTACAGATGACTATATGCAGTAAGCTGTTGAGTTACTAATATGGCTGTAGGTAAAAATAGAACTGTAAATCATATATTAGGATATGATTAATTCATTGTACCTTGGTTGGTGTGAATAATGTCTACGTAAGCACTGTAGTCGTATCCATATTGGATTAATGATGGTCCGCAGTAGAATAGTCTTACTAAGAATAATTTAACTATGTGTAAAATAAGGTAAAAGGTTGCCATGCGGATTGTAGCTGCGAATGCTACGGAAAGTATAAAAGCATGCAACTTTAGATTATTCTGTTAGTTCTTTCTAGAAGTCTTTAGAAGTAGTATTCGGCTAGAGTAGAGCTGTGTAGTTAATCTTTGTATAAGATTGAATAAAGCCCTTATTGTTCTAAAATTTGGAATTTCGTGATTGGTATATATCACAATCAGATTAGTTTTTAAGTTCTGATTAGCTCATCTCAAGGCTTAGCTGACTGTTCTCAGTAAATAACAACGGGAATTAAGTTTGCTATATTAAGGTTCCGAAAGAATCAATTCATTTTGGGAATTACGTACTGTGACATGCTCTAATGGCGATCTACCAAGGTAGCATAAGTTTAAACGAAAAGATCATTGATAGCAACAATTACATTGCTGGGCAAGATCTTAATCAACTTCAAGCCATTCAGCTATAAGCTAATGTAATAAAGGCTTTAATTGCGACTATTAGCATAAAATTGGATATAATGGTAGTAAAATCTCACCGAGAATAAATGTAAAGCGCTAGTGTGCAATAGCACTTGACCACATCACGTGGAAAAATAATACAGATTAAAGTTCGGATACAGTATTTGTCAAATGACATTTTTTATTATTATATAAGATTTCAGCTATTGTATTATATTAATATATTTTTAACATGTTACCTTGTTTGTCAATATTTGTCTTGGAACTTATCTACCCTTACTTAACGTCTTTTTATTGCTTATATCGTAGATACAAACAATTATGCTCAATTCAGCGCTTGATCTTTAGTAGGGTTATCAGGAGATTATTTTTATCTGTTTTTTGTCAGAATAGGAATGAGTTTGAATTTTATTGGAAAGAGATTCACTTGATATAGCATTTAAAATAAGGATGCAGGCGATCGTTCAATGATAGCTTGCCTCAATTGATAACTATACCACTCTTGATATAGCCTTGAAACTTATATGCAAAATTACGGATTTGAAAACCATACTATAAAGCATAGTGGCTAGCTTAGTTAAAAGCAAAAATATGAACTATTTTTAATAAAAACTGCGATATTTCGACCTAATTTAAATTAAATAAACTATGAATTCTCAGCTTATATTAGACCATGAAAACATACAAAGATACGATCTGTCTAAAGCGCATTTTATAGCGTTTCCTTATATTTCAGCGTAGCCGGAATTACGGTCTAGTAAAGAAATTTTGAGTGCCTTTTTTAAACTATCTACCATAAAAATTCTACTGCTTTAAAAGTAATTCTAATAGAGATACAGTGTCTTACAGTACTCTAAATTATAGTTCTCCATTATGCTAGTAAAAATCTCCATAAAATAACGGCGAAAATACATGTCGCTTACTCTTTACCTACGGTTATTATAATACCTGCATTTGTATGATGTGATGAGAACGATGGTTTATCATTTCCTAATAAAAATTATATCTAAAGACCATGAAATGACTTGCTTCCCTCGCTTAATGACCCCTATTATGCTAATCTGCGGCCAAATGATGTCTTATTCTGGTAAATTATTGACAGATGAACTGAATATTGTAATGTGCAGCTCATCAAAAGAAACTGCCTAGTATATGAAGAACTGACATTTAAGTGCAGTATCACAATCGAATTATAAATGTCAGCTGGTGCCCTACAGAATAGTTTTCACTAATCGACGGAACAAAAGATAATAAGGGTATATTTTATCGTGTGATTGGTAAATTGATCGAAAGAGTATTTTACTATAAAGGGTTTATCTCGCTTGAAATTGTTAATCCATAGCCCCGTTTATCAAGTATTTTAATATCATGGTACATCATTGCAAGTTTCCTATCTTCGCAAAGGTAGCCGTGGCATTCTATTTACTATTTCTATTTCAGCAGGTAATTTCAAATTATTGTACTATTTTAATCATCAAGCAACTGATTGCTACTATTTAATGATAAGCTTCGGCAGCGTACGACAGTTTTTTTCCAGTTTCACTGAAAAATTTTCTTATCGTAGTCTAAAAAATAATCGCATAATTGAGTAAAAGTCTAAACGACTTACTTATGCTGCTAATATTCGTTAAGTAAAAGACATTGGATACCTTATTATAGAAAGATTTTGGTTATAGTAATATGAAATAAATTAAGATTCACCATTCCGCAATTAGCGTTTAATTGATCATAGAGAAACAGTCATTCTAATTTAAATTCTGAGGTTGAACTTCACTATCATTTATAACTATTTTTCTTCAACCGTTTGTCCCATCTATGCGCACTGAACTATCTTCTACTCTATAGCTAATGAAATGCATTGTTTCCGTATTTATACTCCCGCGATATATTTAAATTAATTAATTAACCGATAATCTTCACTCTAAGTCAGTTAGTGCCAATAGAATTAAATCTAATACTTGGTAATAAATTTCGTGGCTATTACACTATATGTTAATAACGTTACCACGTCTAATTTTTCCCATTTCTTATATATTAGCATGTCCTTCACTCCTATCCTCAAGAACGGCGTAAGTAGAAGTTTAAAATTATTCAATAGCTATCTATAGGTTTACATATAGACATAATATTATATTTGTAATAAATATGGGTTTGTAAACCATATCATGAATGATCTACCAAAATGTGGTTAATAATATTAAATTAATCATAAATTAAGTTAAATTTGAAATACCATGAAGCATTATATCATAGTTTTTACTGTAAACGGAAACATAAAAACTGTTATGGCTGATCTTGCCTTCGTTTCCTAGACCTGCCATCCTTTTGTCAATGTCTGGTAGTCACTTAAATACTGTATGTCAAGTTATCTTAAATAATATGAAACCTTGAAAAACATCTCAGCAATTAAAAATTTCGTTTAGTTTACTCTACAAGATAGTCAAAGAAACGATTGTGCTCCTTATTGATCGCAGGTTTAGGATTACATCCATTTAATTAAGCTAATCTGACCTGTAAATATTTTCGGAATGTGTCAAGGAATAACGAGTAAGTTATACAATAGTATTCATCTGTTAAAATTACAAAATTACCACAGTGAAAATTGATGAAAATCAATTTAATCTAATTTCTTATACTCAATTAATCTATAATTCAGTAATAGTATCGAGTAATTTAATTTACTTACGTAGCAGTTTGTCATCATCAAGTAAAAATACAATTGGTGGATTTTATCTATTTTCATTTAGGCTAATTTGTATTACGCAGATCTTTAACGGATTTGACTGTAATAAATTAGTGTTAAAGTTGTATTTAATCTCGAAATATTATTCTACATATACACAAAATGCCATCATAAAATATATGGCTGTACACAAATATCACGAAAGTAATCTTTGCGAAGTATATTTTTTTTATATGTTACGTTCGATATATGTTTATATCTCAGAAATTTTTTACGGTTTCCTTTATTGTAATTTTAGTAGTTAGTAGCTGATATTCTTAATTTAGGATTACATAGACTAAAATAGTAATTGCCAACCAGCTAAACTAGATTATATTTATCAACTCCAAGGTTGTTAAGGTACAAAATACAATTCCTAAGTTTAGAGGAAATATCTTAGCAGGATAGCTTTATATGTATCTGTTAAACTATTAATAAGCATTGTTTTTTTAATACTATTACAGTAAATTTAATAAGATTAGACTGTATCTAATCTTTACAGATAGAATCTCTTTAGGGTATTAATTAGGTTACTTTCTAATAGACGAGGTGACTTGTGTAGCTAAGCCAGTGTTAGGTTCGAAACCTATATAAACGGCTGGTCCGCTAACAATAAATTAGATTACGATTTTCTAGTAAGTCTTGTAGGTCTTCCTGTGTTAAATCTTATCTACCTTGGAATACCAATTGTCTGGTATTCCAAATAACAGTAGTAAAGGATAGAAAACACTCTCCCAATCCTTGTTCCAGGTTAGGGCTATTCCTGGCTTGTAATCAGAAATCTAAAGCTATCTGCCTAATCTACCAAAATTTATTGAATAGAGTAATAAAATCAAGACCATTATAAATTCTATAGATCTTTAAGATTAAAAATTACTATCGCAAAATAACGTTAATGGCGATGATATAAATAGCTAAGCTTAATTATTCAAGAAGAAATCTTATTCTAAGAAATATTATATTCGTAATATATGCTTGTTTAGCTAAAAATGAAGTATCCTTTATTCTCTTAATTAAATTTTATACCAGGTACAACGATCGTAAATGAAAATCTATGCAATCAGGAAGGATTAGACTGTGATCTCCGTGCTACCTGTGTACGTTCTATCTTGAATGACACAATATATTATCAATGTCGATGTGCAAATGGCTACTACGGTGATGGAATAAAATGTGAAGGTTTGTTTTAGATTCCTCAAACTAAAGCTATTTTTCTTCATTATGAAAAAGTGTTCGATAATTTAATTTAACTTATTAGATATTTAACAAACATCTTGTATGGACATTAAATTATTGTGGTCGTCATTTATAGTTTTTGCAATATAAATTAATATATTTTATAAAATTGGAAGAAATTTACGAATCTTCACTAGAATAATTTTAAATTTTTCATGACACGATAACCACTTTCCACCAGTTTTAGAATCTTAGATTAATAACTTGGTTATCATCCACGAAGATATTTCTAATATTTGAGCTTTAATATATAATTATAAATAATTATTGGCTTAGTAGTAATTTTAAGCTGAGTCATTGTCACAAAACAGCTTTGCAACAAGATAACGTAATGTACGATCAATAAGTCAATTCCTTGAATCACTTATCAAGGAACGATATCTGCACTATCACAAACACTTTTACTCTAATAGCAGACTACACAAAGACTTAAACGCCTCGTATTTTATGTTAAACACTAAGTTGGAGAATTCTCTTTATTTCACGATATACTGCATTTATATACTATTCCTTAATAGCTCATGAGTCATAGTTAGTACGATTAACTTTGGAATAATTCACTGAATTAGATATTAATTATAGCTACTGCTCCCTTAATACAGACAACAGTATTTACGAAAATAGACATGTAATGACTAATACAGAACAGTCAGATTACGATATGTCCTATTATGGAACATTTCCATGATAATTTACAGTCTACCATAAGTAAATTACAATCACAATAATTCGAACTGTAAGTAGATGATTTACATTCCCTATTATAACTATTAATTCAGTATGTGTATATGTTTCACTGTCATAAAAAGTCAGTGCTATATTAAAACTCAGTATATCCAAATTAGAAGTTAACTAAATAAGGATAGGCTAACAGGATTATCCTAACATAGATATTTCTACTCTAATACAGTATATAACACTGTAACAGTCATTTAAGATATTTATTAAATTACTCTTCAGAATACAGTACTCCTACATGATTATCAAAATACTAGATTCTATCGCAAAATATTTATGCCTTAGTGGAGGCTAACATTGTTACATTCAAAATTCAAGCTATTGCTTTTGAATCAATTTTTACAACTAAAAGTGAAATAGCTAACATAAACTGAAATAAAATTCAAATTGCTAAATAACTACTGCTACTATGTAGGATTTCTTTAGTATATGAAATTTGTAATTTACTATCCTAAAACTGATATTGGAAAGGTAATGTAAAGTTGAACTCAACAAAGAAGTAACCGAAAAATTGGACATTTACTCGAATGTACCTTGTTCAATCTTACGTAATACTAGTATTAAATTACTTTGAAGCAATTAATTTAAAGAGCCATATAAGTATCGAATGTAACCTTACCATTAAAAATTAGTGTACGGTAGTTATTGAGTAGAGTGTGCGTAGCAAACTGCAACAAGAATCAATTCTTCAAAATCATTCTTAATTACACTAAACAAACAGAATTATAGGTAAGTTTAGTATGGCTCCAAGAGCAGTTTCCTTTTATTATGATGCAGTTATTATACTTGATTAATTTTTCTTTAACTTAATTTTTAACAATTTTAAGGTTATGATAATTTAACAAATGAATTATTACCACTGGTAACAAATAATTAATGTTTGTATTTCATTTAATAAGCTGATACAGATTCTCGACAATTAATTATGAGAGACTTAAAATAAGTTGACTATTTAAAAATTTAATTGAACATTGCGATACCAATAATTATATATCATTTTCATTACATTAGTTCAACATGTAAAATTTTTCACTTTACAATTATTTAGACATTAACGAATGCAATAGCTCCCAATCAGTGTGCACTCTACAGCACCAAATCTGTATCAATACTGATGGTGACTTTAGATGTAGATGTGATCAGGAAACTACCGGCATATCATATCATAAGAATTGTACTGGTAAGTTTAGTACTTTTGTCTTAAGGTGGCTGCGAGAATATATCAAATAGCTTATTTCATCTATAATAGTCATTTCAGTTTTTAGTTGAATGAATGTTTAAAAATATAGCGGTAAGCAAAAAGTTCCAATTTTGTAATAAAATGTTAATGATAGGATATTTGCTTTATTCAATTTTTTCTATTTGATAGAATGTAATGCAAATTGCTCAAATACAACGGTTTGTGTTGTCACTAATGACGATCGGGCTATATGCAGGTATGTTGAAACTGGAACTATTAAATACCTGATGTTAAGGATCTTTAAACATTTAAAATTTATTTCTGAAATTTCAGTACAATTTTGCTATTGCTGATTAAAGATAAAGTGTATCCTTGATTTGTCATACCATATAAAGTTTTTACAAGATTTTTATCTGTAAAATCCTACGAGCTATGCCATAGCTACAATTTTATTAGTGGCAATATTTGCATCCCTATCTAATTAAGGACAAAGTATTTATAAATGCTCTTAGTTAATTTATTTAAAATATCTGCTAATTTTTGATAAACTATCCAAGTACATTACCTTTCGTTAACTAATTAAATAGCCAAATTAAAGATTAATGGCCGGTATGATCACTCTATCAAACTTTATAATTTTAGACGCAGTTTATCCACTTTATAAACACAAAGGCAACTGTAATAAATGTGCTACCTTTAGCCATACTTTAACTAGCCACCCAGTAGTTATTATCACAGTGTATTGGTTATAAATAGTTCAAAGCATAAAATTACTGTGGATATTACGTTCGTAAAACTTCAAATCACGTATCTACAAACAACTAGCTCAGAGGCTATCGATTGAACTCCTCTTAAAGGGAGTCATCCTTTTATATATTTTCTGCAGGCATGTTGACAAACATGTTTGTCAAATCATCCAGCTTAGTCAATTCAAGTTAAATCCAAGTTATTTCAACCTATAGTTTTACTTATTCTACTCAATATTTAGTTTGGCTCCTGCAAGTTTAAGACTCGTAACAAGGTATGATTGCCATTCCTCACTCTGACTCAATCATATATGAGTTACGAAGACATGCTGTTGTCGCTTACCTAGGCGCGCTGTAGTCTTACTTAAGGTTACAGTTAATATCTCTTTTATTATCCACTAACAGTACGCGATAATCTTAACACTATAAGATGATCCTTAGTAACACTAGTCTACACAGGTCTAGCGTTGCCATCTTCTTTATTAATATCGGGGCCTCACTATAACCTACTCTTTTACAGTGCATAGTTCAAGACAGCAGTTATCTTGGCTGTTGTCTAATGCTATCGTTGCCAGCCAAACGATATATGTTTTACTAGCCCTAAATAATTCCAAATAGTATATTTTCTAGACGTTTAGTTAAACTAGTTAACCAATCACAATAAATATCGTATATTTCTTTATCTTTCAAGATTGCGTAGCATAAATTTTTTGGTTAAAAATTTAAATTGCCATTAACTATAAACAAAAGCATTAACGAAGGATAATAATCATTAATTTTTACCTTAGATGTATCCCAGGGAAAGAAGGTATTTGTCCAATACCGCCTAGCTTTGACTGTAAGTACAGGCCAGTTATCCAATTAAAATTTAAACTTGATGTCTTTAATAACTATTGGATCTTGAAATTAAAGCCTTATTATATATCATATTCATAGTACTATTTCTAAACCTTATGTTGCCTTACGACCTAATCCTATCTATTTATTTTAATAGTTCGCACGATAACAGGATTAATCACGGGAGGAGTTGCATTTGTAGTTATTGTTTGCCTACTTTCTATATTTTGCTACTTGAAAAGGAAAAGTGCTGCAAAATTGGAAGACGATAAACAAGAACATAAGCAAAAGTCCTAGTTAGAGACTAGCAACAGTACATATAGTCTGTTAGTGTTTGTGTTTAGTAGATCACCTTATACAGCAAGTTAAATTCCTACGTTATGTTTTTAACCCGTAGATAATTGAAGTACCAACATATGCATCTTTATACTATGAACTTAATTTTTGTTTCCATTAGCATTACTTGCGATTTTATTGCTAATTTATAATCAAATATCAATAGCTAAATGTATAAGATACTCATAAAATGGACGAAATTGTAGAACTAGAACCTGTTGTATGCTCATTATCCTCAACTAAGGTATTGATATCTGCTAAATGGAGCAAAGCTTACAAAATGGCTATTAGACCGAATAGTGATCTTGTCAAATACGCGTATTGTCGTATGATCAAATATCACGATGAAGTCTGCTTCATCAAGACTACTTCATCTTCGAAACATTTTCATTAAAAATAATGGCAATTACAAATTAGGTTTTAAACGTCTTTTCAGTAAGAGTGATTAACTAATTTAAATTATTTACGGGTATAACGCAGATTTATTTAAGTTAAGTCCTTGACTGTCATAGGATTTTATTATATTTTCAGTACATTCTGAAATCAATTATGTATACCGTCATTCAAATATTCATGAAATAAAGTAAATCTTCATTCTTCATTCCTGTTTCATTAAATTTCATTATCCTTGCGTAAAAGTACAACAAATAATGTCTTAAACTAGAGACAAGAATACTTTTAATAATCATTCGTTTACAATACCACAAATCAAGGAAACTAAAAGATTATGTTCACGATCAATTAGGTTAACAAACTGAGATGCAGTTATTTGCCTAAATTCAGATTGTCGCTTTGGGAAATAATTTTATAAATAGCACACCTCCATTTATGTAATCACGGTTGGGGTCTGGAAATGTCTGGAAATTGCTGAGTCGGTGCTAGTAAGGTATTCTTTCTTATACTGAAATGCGTATTACCAAAGTCATAGCAACAAATCATAGATTTACTCAATATGAAGTACCGGTAATAGTAATTCTCGAGTTTGAGTTATACTTAGCGTTGACGTATAAACGTGTAAGATGTATTCTCATGTTATACTATTTAATTAGATGAATGATTTGGAGTATAAGAAATCTGATAATGATAAATTATTCTAGCACGCAATAGTTTCTCACCTTTAATGCTTAAATTAGAAATCTGCGTGTAACAATTCTATCAGCGACTATTTCACGAGCAGCATGACTAAATTACAAATATGGAAATATACAAAACCTATGTAGATTCCTTAAATTTAATGACAAAACTAACTGATCATTTCAAATGTTGCAACTCTCGTAGAATGTATACCCAGCTCTTATAAGCAGTAATTCTAAGCTTTAATTTCAAATTATTTTAATAAAACGTGATTAGAAGATCACCAAACTACAAATTCCAATAAGAAAGCAAATATCTCACAAACATTTCAACGTAATAGATGAAATATGCTCTTCTGCCGATACAAGTTCCTGCAGGACTCCTCTTAGATAAAATGATATTATGCACTGTATCCTGATATGTAAAGAAGCCTAATATTGTCCTCACTAAGGAGCATTTAACATTACCAAAAGTACATTCAAGTGGATAGACTATAATTTATAGCTTTAACAACTTTAAAAGCAATCGCAGTACCACTCTTAATTGTAATCGTATGCGAGCTCGGTCTTAAGCCACTACCCCTAGAAAAATAGGTCTCTTTTCAAGTGATTAGTGCTTAACCAGTTAACGTATAAGAGTAATTCATTTTAAAATTCATTTTGTGGGGTAATATATAAGATTTTGCGAAACTATATAAAACCGAGCACTAAATTAGCTGTTCAGTTCCATTTAATCATTTCTAGATCTACTCGATAATTATTGCCAAGAGTTTCCTATCGTACTTTTTAGTAGATTTTTTGACTTAGACTTATCTCAATAAAGTAAAGTCCTTAAATCTATTAGCTGTTGGTAACTTATCTGTGTAGTTTAGAGTTAATTTAACTACGATAAGTCTCCTAAGTCAGTTACGGACACGAGTATCAGAGATAATAGTATTTTAGACCCGTTTAAAAAGGCTAAATTGTAACATAAGCATATACGTATAAGCCAACTTTTGGAATTAATATTAACAGAACCTTCCAAATTCGGGATTAGACTCACATCTGCAACCATTTCAGGAAGTGAGTATAATTCAGTTCTAGGAGTGTTCTATGACGATTAAACTACGATTTTTTAATTTAAAATTTAGAAATTCTAGTTTTCTAAGAACTAATTTAAAGCAAAATATAAATTTATATCATGTTGCTATATAGCTTAAACTACATTATAGATCAGGGTAACTATTCAGAGATACAAAGGCAGCATACAATAACCAATTTTGGTTATATACAAACTAATAATTTTTATGTTATAATATTTTGAATTTTCATAAATATTCTTACAATTACGTCGAAAAGTTCATTAATATCAACTGCAAATACGAATGGGCAGCTTGCAAAATGACCGACTTCGCATACGGTTACGTTCATAAACACTCCAACTGTCATGAAAAATTGTGTAAAGGAAAATATCATGGACGAGGTAATTTCACCAAAAAGCTAGATTAAAGCAGTTAGATACAAATATGGTATGTTTAACTTACCATATAACCAAAGTAACTTCTCAGCTAAACGAAAGATCAGTACGAGGATGATACACGGACATTATATTTGGTCCAGAGACAAAACAGGATTCTATACTTGTCTTCCACACAATAAGCAAGATCATAAACAGACTGTTCAGTAATTGATATGTCAAGCTATAAATAATAAAAGCTTGCTATTGGACCATTGCTATTAAGAATAAACAAAAATGTCTGACAGCAACATTTCATATCGTCTTCATTCTTAGATTAATTCTTAATAACTACCAAATAAGCTAGGAAAGCAATAATACTGTTAACTATTTTCAACTATATTACATCCCTGTAGAACTACTGTTTTAATTAAGACACAAATAAGAATACCTTTATTTAATCCAATAAAAACTTAGTAACTTCTAACAAAACTCTCTTGACGAATAATTAGTCTAGGTTATCTTTTCTTGCCTTTCTACAATTTAAATTTTTTTTCTGTACAGTACGTTTTTTGTTAGTAATATGCAATAATCTAAGCCATAGATTTCTAGATCCAGATATCGATATCTAAGTAAACCCTACGATAAACTGTTGTTGCAGAGCAAAGTACCGTACATGTTAATTAAGTAGATTCCGTTATGTAGCTAATGGTAATACGGTAAACAGTAATTATGAATATTAATCGTGTATAGTTTTGCCAGACAACCAAGATTTACGTAAGCGTATTCTGAAATTAATTAGTATAATCTTTATAGATACTAATATTGGCGCCACTTTAGCACCCGCCGTGAAGTACGAGTAAGGTGCGAGTAGCGTACTGAGCCTCGTTCGTTTAATTAGCTATTTATTAGTTATTCGCAATTAAATTTCTTCACGAGTTAACTATATAGTAAACTTTATAGTTTATTTAGGGCTGTTTCCTTATACGAGCCATGTCAATGTTATGTTGCTAAATTACTATGTGCGCACCACAAGTTTGGTGGTAGGGTATAGCGTACAAAAGGAGGAGCGAACGGTCAGCTCCTCAGTTAGTGAATAGATAGCGTTTCGGCTACTCTATTAATAAAATTATACTAAACTCTTAGTACAGTCTTATCCCTGTGTGACCGTAAGTAGTATTGAACTACCACTCAGTAGACCTCCAGGTGTAGTGGAGATAGAAATAAGTAATCTATTAGTTTAGGATAGCATTTCGCAAGTTAAGTTTGTGACAACTGTACAATATCATTCATATATAAAAATTATATACATATTAAAATTAAGAAAGAACTGCCGATATAAGTTTTCATAGGAATTTTTACATGCAATTATAGTAGTATATCTCTCTTTCAGCCCTTAAAGTACGGTACCTATATTCAGTTTCAGATTACCTTAAAGCGCCATTAACCTAATTATGACGATTTTTTAATACAATTTTGTAATAATTATTAACTATTGAAGCTGATAAGTTAACGTAATATTGAGCTGATACTGCCGTCACGTTGCTAGAAGTTAGTTATTCAATTGGCATTGTGAGTCATATATCGATTCGTTACTATATAGAAACTGTATTTGATTTATACTGCACGCATATACTGTAGATCTTCACGTTAGTAAGTTAGTTAGGATTGAAATTAGATATTCTCGTTTCATTATTATTGTAAGATTATACTAGAGATTTCTCATTGGAGTTGGTAATAAAGTATAAATTAAGAAGGGAACTTAATCGTAAGTATATCATACGAACTTTAATCAGAGTGCCTTGAGCTATCAACAAATATCGTAACTAGATCAGCTGATCTAGCTATTTGCTGATGCAAGCTATGAAGCAAAATCCGATGATAACTTCTTCATGTTAATAAACTGCTAGTACTTCATTAAATATTTATAGAAAATTTCAATTTAATTCACTTGAGATACCAAAAAACTATTTCAATTAGCTTTTTAGCGACATATGCGTTTAAAATTCATCGATAAATCTAATACATCCAATTAGGTTTCAGTTATCATTGACTTATTAAATTAAAGAATATAGTTCCTTTTATACGTAATCTCTTGTTTGCTTGATTATTTTATGTTTTAATGATTCTATTTCTATCAAGAACTATCCTTGAACTTGATAATTTACCTTTCATCAGTCAATAAGACTTTTAGCCGCTAGTGATAAAATTATTATTAATCTAAATTATCAGTATGATCAAATAAAAGTATTTTTCAACAGTCGTAGCCCTTCAATTGGTCAAATTCTTCAATAATGTACTTCTAATGACCTTTATAGCCGAAGTATAAATAATTTTTTCTATTTTATGATTTCAATTTAAGTCTTAGAACCCACAAACAGTGCCTTGATAAAGGACTTGTCAGCCATCATTATGCAATCTGTGTTACTGAGATTTATAATTATACCCTAAGATTCAACTGTCGCTGCGGTGGCAGTTTTAGCGGCAATGGAAGTTACTGTGAAAGTAAAATGATTTTATTGATTGCCTCAAATGTTTACTGTAAGTAAATAAACTCTTCTATATATATATATATATATATACATCACAGTGCAGCCCGTTTATCGTATTCTATATGTCACAGCCGTTTATATAAAACGGGGACTATTTGATTGTATAAGTAAATTTTTACCAAATACAGTCAATCACTATATTGATTAACCGATACTGTACTTGCAACTACTTTTCTAACAGGGACCGCAAACTTCTCGGTTTATGGAATTACACTTTCGTGAGCGCTATAGGATTTACCGTTTACTTATGGTAGCATGCATAGACAGATTCAGGTTCTCATCAACATAAGCCGTCTATCCCGTTTAATTCTCTTGTAAATACCTTGCCTTAGAGTTTTATATAATTTCGAGGCTATTTACTATTTATACTCGATCTCACATAGGAGAATTCACAACTGCAGTCTATTATCCAATATTAATTTAACAGCTGATTTATAAATTGTACCAACTTAAACAACTCACTGTCAAAACCCTCACTTATGGCAAAGGAAAGTAAAGAACTCTAGTGTAGTTACTTAAAACTTGGGCTATTTCTCCCAGTACTTTCAGTTTCTATGAGAGAAGTATTTGAGAACTCGATTTCTCGGCTGATCTCCACAGACAACTGACTAATTATTACACTATTCTTCACGATATGAGTCTTGCCGTTTCTTGAGCAATTACTTACTTTATTCTACAAACACACGCGCTTAAATAGGTTTCTACAGTGAATTCCAATATTAACGAGTGAGAATTCATGCTTTACAAGTTATATTAATTAGTATAATACCATTACTAAATATACATGTCGATGTTACGGCCAAAACCCGAAGTCCGGCCATTACGCATAATGCCCCGGGCATTCGATATTCTCAGACTTAGATAGCTACAAGCTATCAGGTGTTAAGACGCTTAACCTTCGTCCATATACAGCTCAATTTTTAGAGATTAACACACCTTATAAACCTACAGTAAATTAACTGCTAACAACTTCTATTTTTATCTCATTTCTACCATCCTATTATCAGCTACAAGCGCATTAAAACATAGCACATAAACTTATCTTATCTATTCATAAGCATTCATTAATTTACAGTTACTTAATTAGTAACGGCGTACCGTGACACTCACTAACACAATAGTGAGAATACAATATCAGTACGCCATGTATTTATTGCAGTAGTCTGAACTCTTAATCGAGTACATCTTTAATAAATAAAAGTAAACAAGAACAGTGGATCATGTCCTACATCTTTAATCAATAACACTAAGACTAAAACTCAGTCTGCCATAACGTAATCAATCTAGATCATCTCAATTAAATAGTGATATCTCTGATGTTTCACAAGGCTTAGGGTCCGTCATGATCGCAATAGATTACCAGAGTTAAATTAGCAGAGAAATAGAGTTTGTTGGAATTAGTGCAAAAAGAAAACACAGTATAAGGCTACAGCGCGTATAATGATGTGACTAGTCGAATAGCTATAGTAATGTAGAATAGGTAAAGCGTACAAGCTTACCGTGTAGCTAGCAGAACGAACTAACGATATAGATGCAATATGATAAGACAAATAAGGAATTATGCTACAGTCTAGTAGAAATTTACTTTTACTAAGAATAAATTATAGCGTATTTAGCAGTAAACATTATAATATCACACCTATTAGCCGTAAAGAGCCGATTACATTACTGCAGTACCAATAACGTACATCGCTTCGAACTACTTGCCGTAGATGTCCTCATGGAATAGTCATTTTTCAGTCGTTTTAATTCACTCATGCAAAACCTTTTTAAAACTCGAGGATCGTAACTTCGTGAATACTAGAGTCTCAGCTTCTAGTATGAATCAAAACTTTATTTATACTTATAGTAATTATTTAAGAATTGACAAATCTCCAATCCCATAGTTCTTGCTACCTAACAGCAGTTTATCTAATGTGTTCACGTACGTATATGAAACTCATGAAAAGATATTTCCTAAATTAGCTAATAAAATTGGTATTAGCAAATCGTAGATTTATTACATTATTTCGCAAACAGTTAAAATTTAAGATTGGTCATTGTTCTACAGATTAATAGTAATCTATGCAATTACGTGTATGTGAATTATTACTTTAGACGTAGTCGGAACCAAATAAAACTAAACGTCTAACTTTCGACTTTGGTAGTTCGAACAAAGGTGTATAAAATTTCATGTCGTAAATAAAATATAATTAGCGACACGCGTACATCTGTCAGCTAGACTATTTTTTGATAGCTGAAATATTTAACAAACTAAGGTAACATGACATTGTTCACCTCATTTTACTTGATATTAAGCCATAGATATTATATAGTTCTAATAACGATATTGTCCCAAATATAAATTTCCGAATTCCAGGTTTAGCTATTGACTTAAAATTAAATTAGAAATAATTCGTATTGCAGTGGAACGTCAATGATAATTATAAAGGCTAAATATTATAAATTAAAAATTATCTTTCATAATTTATGACGTAATTAACGCATTTTAGTAATCGAATAATACTGTAATGTTAGGTGCTTAAAGTACCTAAATTCTGTAATCGATAAAAAGCCTTTAATTGCTGGAGAAAACTATAGATATAGGCCTCAGAAGAAAGCCTACTGATTTATATCAAATATTTACATACAATATAGTAGCATAATTATATATAGAAAGGTAGTTTACAGTGTCTGTAATAGAGCCAAGTCATAACGAACATTGTGAATTCAAAGTTAAAATCATGACAAATACGAGTATATGATTGACTATCAAGCTTAACAACAGATTTAGAGATGAATTAGATAATAACTTTAAAAGGCGATGTAGAGCCATTAGTATGACGAAATAAAATGATTAATATTTGATTATTATTTTATTCGTAATATTCGCGTCAATCACAATACACTAAATTAAAGAATCAGCGACAGCAAAGTCTGCTTCTGTAATAACACAATCTATTCTAAGAAAGTACTGGAAAACAAAAGCTTACGTAGCAGTAGTCCTTTTAAATCACTCTGCTAGCGGATATATTTAAAACAAAGAATACGATTGATAATATTCATTTATATAGTTTATTCTTCAATGAAAATTGTATAACGATTAAATTCCTTTCTAATCGAATAAATTCAAAGATCTTAGTTCATTTAATCTACGAAGAAAATCTTTTATAAGTCAAATAATGATTTATGAAGCTACTTGTCTAGACTATTATAATTGGATTTTAAGGTAAACAGTAAATTAAGCGATAAATGCCTAGGAAAAGGTTTTATCAACCTCAACAGGAAGCACCTCATAGCGATTTAAAGACCATAGAGAGACTTGAATTTCTATTCGCTTAATCATGGCTATTCATGCTGGCCCCATCAAATTTGCACTTATCATTTTATTCCATCTTTCAATTCTAATCCATCAGGTATGCCAAATGTAATTTGATCTACCTATTTTTTACGATACACATCTTAATAAAGTTGTGTACTGCACATATCATTAATTAACGAAAGATATCAAATAATGTTAATAATGTCAATTAAAAAATACTGGCTATTTCGTACTTCTATAATACTAAGTTAACGGTAGTCCTTATTACTATATTTCATGTCTCATTGTTAATTCTGAATACGGACGTTTTAATTTTAGTCCATTGCATGCAGTAAAACATTTCTAATTTTATTCAACGGCTAGTTATACTGTATGATAGATTTTATTGCCACAATATATTTCGATATTTAGAGAAATTCTACCTTAATTCTATTTGCAAAATATCCTAAATATAAGTAAGTATCCTATTTCGATGTATTCTGCCATCATATCAATTCTAGTCTTAGATAGCCGATTGGTTTTCCGTCGTTATAATACTAGGATATGTATACTGTATAGTGTAAGTCGCTATGTCAAGAATATTCACAAGTGCACCATCGGCATTGGCCGAAACTATAAAAAGTCGAGCTTTAGCTTAGCTGTTCAGTTCCAGTTAGTCACTTGCAGGATCTTTTGACTATTATTGCTAAGAATATTCTTAAGTTTTTCTTTAGTACATTTTATGATTAAGATTAACGAAAATAAAGTAAAGTATTTAAACCTATTACTCATTAGTAGCTTATTTGTGTAGCTGAGAGTTAGTTCAACTACGATAGGTCCCTAAGTTAGTTGGGAACACGAGTACTAGTGAAGATAGTGTTTAAGACCCGGTTTCTTGTTAAAAAGGAGATTTGTAAGATAGGTGCATTTCGAAAATGAGATTAAACGAACTGTAAGATAGCTAGATAAAGCTGCTTGTCGCATACATACTTTGTGATTGCTTTTAACTGTAGAAGCGTTAATTCTAGCTATTAATATTCGTATCATAAGTATTTTTATTCTGATTGTTTTGCTTAATCTCATATTTCATAACTTTTAAATGTTACTTGAACTCAAATTTTGGCTAATTAAATCGGTTATTGCCGTCCTAAAATACTTTAATGCTAGAGCAATTCTTTAATCTATGTTGGGGTAGTGACTGTAGCTAGTTGTAGAAGCACCAGTAGTGTGTTTTGAAGTGTAATCATAATATTGAGAAAAGTAGTAATGACAGTGAATAGTCGGCTACGCTTAATAAAGTACCGTAGTTGCAGATGACGGCTGATATAATGAAATGGTTTAAAAGTGAATTTATTACAACTTATATGGTACTAGTAAAATTAATCGTTTTCTATTATTCTTACGGTTAGAGCTTAAATTCCCCTTACATTTCCAAGCGACGTAAGTATACATATAGCATCTTAATTATTTTTTCGATCCTATAGTAACCGGAAGATTATATTTCGATTGTAATCTATAGAAATTATAAAAATACTTATATTATATCGTACTTCACGATCGCATTTATTAAATATTCGTAATGCCTAGACCGTAGCTCTAATACGTATTATAAATACAGTAACTAATACTGTACGTGCCATAGAACCACAAATGAGTTAGCAAGCTACAAACGATTTCTAATACAAACTTCACCTCTGCGACATAAATTGTACTCCCTTAATTAGATTTATTCATGTAATTTTTCCCTTCATTGTATGTGAGAAATTACCAGCATCGTATTCCATTTTCGATTAATTTACTTGACAATTTTGCTAAATCTTTAATAGTCACGAAACAAAGCAAACCCGAAGGCTATGTATTAAACACTTCTATTATATAAAAATTGTTAATTATAGTTTAATTTGTATAGCAATTTAGTGCGATGCTATCATGAATGCTCAAAGTCATAAGTAAAAAAAGTAATTAGCAGATAATCTAAATTACTTTACCAGCTTTACTAATTAAACACTATTTTTAATGGACATAGGCGAAAATTGATTTCTAAATGTTTGCATTTACAAAATTTGCATTCTGCTCCTTGTCTCTTAACGATCAGGATGGAATATCATTAGTTTTGTGTTGCAAAGTAACTTTGTAATAAGATTACATAATTTATAATCATTAACTCGAGTTCTTGAAGCATATATCAAGGTACAATTACTATGCTATCACAAATAACTTTTTCTCAGCTAGCGAATAATACAATACCTATAATTAATATTTATAGTGCATATTTCAACGTTCAGTATTTTACCTTATGCATTGATTTTAAGAACTATCTTTATTACGTGATGTACCGTATTTCTATTCTCTTCTACAACAGTTCATTAGTCTTAGCTCGTAAAATTAACTTTAAAGCTTTTCAACGAGTCAAAGGCAGACTTTAGCTGCTGCTACCTAAAGGCAACAACAGCATTTACTAGCCGAGATATAAAGTAACTAATACTAGATAGTCAGAATATAATATGTCCTATCATAATTTAGTGCTATGTTAAGAACACAATATATCTAAATTAGAATCAGTTAAATCAAGGGAAGCGAACAAAATAGCGTCATAACATCGATATTTTGTCAGCTATTAAATTTAAATTTATTTTAATATGCTTCTTATCGGTTATTATAGACTACATCACCGTTTAAAGAATACAATTAATAATACTGTAATCTATCTATTCATTCCTCATCGCGTTCTCTAAGACGATTTGTGAATTGATTACAATGATGGCGATAATTCTATGATAAGCATAAAAATCTTATCACATTATCTTATTTCGCCAATACCGTATATGGTTAATTTAAATTTCACCCATTACATAATTATCATCTGTAATTAGGGATATTAAAGATTTAAATCTTTTGATATGACCAACTTGATAAACCTAATTGTGACAGTTACAGACTGTATTAGAGTAGAAATATCTATCTTAGGATAATTTTGTTAGCCTATCTTTATTTAGTTAACTTCTAATTTGGACATACTGTGTTTTAGTATAGCACTAGTATTTTATGACAGTAAAATACGAAGCGTCTAAGTCTTTGTGTAGTCTGCTAATAGAGCAAAAATATTCCTGATTGTGTAGATATCGTTCCTTGATACGTGGTTCAAGGTATTGACTTATTGATCGTGCATTACGTTATCGTGTTGCAAAGCTGTTTTGTGACACCAATATTATAAGGTAAATCGACTTTCACAAGCTTACTAAATCAAAACTCTCGTTAAAATTAGATTTAAACTTCAAATATCATGAAGAATGTTATAAGCTCGAAAAATCTGGTGCTTGCGATGAAAATGCGATCTGTATTACTCATAAACACAATGAGTCGTTGATCCATAAATGCCACTGTATCAGCGGCTATGCTGGTAATGGAACCTACTGTGAAGGTAAGTAAATTTATTGGAATCCTATATTAAAAAAATTAACTCAGACATTATATCACCTAAAATAGACCTTCTAAAAGTTTTAGTCTTTTCTGCTTGAAAGAACAAAAATGCAAAATATAACAAAAAAGGGTACAATTTGATAGCGTTAGTATAACTAGAAGACCGTGCCATCATAACTTCTGTATATGCACTCCATGGTATAAATATTAGAAATACTTGATAGCAAGGTATCATTATGCCCTCAGGTTTATGGACTGCAAGAGCATTTGCTAAGCCTAGCTAATAACCTATAATCCAATACTAAGCTTAGCTACAGTTAGTCGGTTTGAGTACAAGCATCTAATCCTTACTTGTGAGAATCTAAGTTCTAGGGAAGAGTAGTTCCTTAAACTTCTTGTACAAACAGATTTCTTTCTATTTTATGCTTGTTATAGAACTAGTACAGTGTACTGCATAGTAGGAAAATAAAATTTCTATTATAAAATAATCGTATTCTTATCTTTCTAGAGATCAATGAATGTAAGCATTCTAAAGCTGCTTGCCCTTTTCGACATAAAGTGTGCATAAATGTACCCAGATCATATAAGTGTATATGCTATCCAGAAGATATCGGTCCACGTTATCATAGAAGAAATTGCTCACGTAAGATATATATCTAAATATAAGAAAGAGATGTTAACGCTAATTGTCTCAAATTTGCATTAATTTTAAAATTTTCTTCAATAAAAAATCGATAAAAATCATTTGATATTAATCTTACCTAGGAGATTAATACTATCACAGAGCAATATTGACTTTTTAAATTCTAACTCTTCTTAAGATAGATTGTAGCTTGATCTGTCCAATAGGATGGTTCTGCACAGTAAACTCTTTTGACATGGCAATTTGCATGTAAGTTATAATATTATTGATTTTGAATAATAAGCACCGAAATCAATTTTAATCCTTCTATAGGCTGTCCTAATCGTGCAGTAACGCTATAAGATTAAGATTAAAACTACCAAGGATATTCAAGCTTGTCTAAGTTAAATTATGTATTTTGTCGCCAACAATGATTTGTTATCGACCCTAATATGTAGATATATACACTGAAAAAGCTCTTTCACTCATTTAAATTAGCGGCACTTACTATATTTCCATACATATTCTCCGAAAGCTACGCATTATCTATATATTTTAAAATGAATTAGTAACATGTGTGTTTCTAATATATAATGTAGATATTAAATTTACTACTAGTTTTGGATATACAAACTATATTTTTATCTTATAAATGAAAAAATGTAGATACGATAATGTATCAGTTACGGTAGCATCAGTAATAAGTAACTAGTAAAAATAAATGAACAACTATCTACCTTTTATTTCAACAGACTAAAGTGAAATAATTTTTTTAATGTATATGGATCTTAAGAGTCGCAAATAAGAGCTAGATCAGCTATCCTCAATCTAGCCAGCAATTAAATTAATTACAGCTCATGTGTCGCGTGCACTGAGCCTCTACATATTGAAACGGCCATGAAGCTGTTAAATACCACAAGTACTAATGTTTGCAAAACGATATAAGAGCAACAATTGGATCAATATATCATTTAAGCTCGATAAGTTTAGCCTAGTTTGTTTGAATATTATGCAATTATTTATTATAATTATTATAGCAAAATGACGTAAAAATCGATGCAAAAAGCTCATAGTTAATCAAATTTTATAGCCGACATCCAGTAGTTTCTCTTTTGAAAGATTAAAAAAATTTTTTCAGTTGCTTTAATAATGTAAAAATATTGAACATTTTCGTTTAGTTGACACTCTTAGCTAATATTAGAAAATTTTAAATCTTAGAAAGTATATTGATCTTCACTATATCATAATTTCAAATTTATTATTTGCATATTTTAATTTATATTAGGAAAAACCAAAGTTATGCTAATGAATCTTCCAGCGTAAATCGTAAGCTAATAATTTAAATTTTCATATAATTATTATTTCCCTGCCATTAGAAACTTTCTAGGTCATATTATAACTTTATTACAAAAATTTCCATGGTTAAACGCTAATATGAGTGTTGCGTAACTTAGTATTGGATTGTAGACTATTAGTTATTTTTATCATGATTTACACTATAATAGCTTCTATATTTATCATAAGCCTTATTTAGTAGCTCATAGCCATAGACTGTAATTTGAATTTCTATGTTAGAATACAGATACCTATACGCAGTAGAGTGTGAGTTGCGGCTGATACTAAACTCATATTAGGATACGGTTAGTTCATCGTGCTTCAGCTGGTAGAAATAATATCTACGTAAATACTATAGCCGTTAATATATTGGATTGTAGATAGTCTTCTATAAAATTTTGATACTAATAATAATTTGAATTTATGAAAAATAAAGTAAAGTAATACTATACAGATTGTAGCTGCAAAAACGAACAGGAGTACTGATACCGACAACTTGAAATTACTTAGTAGTTCTGTATAGAAGTCTTCAGTTGTATTCGGCTAGAGTAGGTTTATGCATAGATTATCTTTCTACAAAGATCGAATTTAGTTCAAATTTTCTACGAATGTTTAATTTCGTGATTGGTTATATCACAAAAAGTAGCCCTATTCGGCAATAATTGTAGTTCTAAGGCATTATTTTACACTGTAGTTTGCTAATAGGTGCAATATCATTAAAAGTAGTATCATTTTGTTCTTTTACTCCTATAGAAGCAGGAATAACGGGTATCATCGCTGTTGGAATTGCAATTTCTATTATCGCTATCTTTCTTGCAGTATTTTTCATTCAAAAGAGGCGATACAATAATGCAAGAAAGACAGAAGAGGAAGAATATAATTAATGTTTGTACTACTACCTTAAAGTAACTGCTGGATATATCTGAAATATCCTCATGTCATAGCTATAAGTGGTAAAGAGTAATTATGAACATTCATCGTGTATAGTTTTGTTAGACTACCGAAATGTACTGTAAGCGTGTTCTGAAATTAATTAGTACTAGTACAAACTCCTGTCGCTTTGCTGACGGTTTACGATAATGTGCTCATTTAACAGATAGTATTACCATTTGATACACCTGTCAGAGGTTCATTAACTTTACAGTATACCGTGTACTTCGTTCGTTTAATTGGCTATTTATTAGTTATTACCAATTGTTACAGTGTTAAATACTGTATTACAGTAGAAATAACTATGTTAGGATAATTCTGTTAGACTATCCTTATTTAGTTAACTTATAATTTGGATATACTGTGTTTTAATATAGCACTGACTTTTTATGACAGTGACACTTATACACATACTGAAATTAATAGTTATAATAGGGAATGTAAATCATCTACTTACAATTCGAATCATTGTGATTGTAATTTACTTATGATAGACTGTAAATTATCATGGAAATGTTCCGTGATAGGACATATCGTAATCTGACTATTGTGTATTAGTCATCAGATGTCTATGTTCGTAAATACTGTTGTCTGCATTAAGGGAGCAGTAGCTAAAATTAATATCTAATTCAATAAATGATTCCAATGTTAATTGTATTAACTATGACTCATGAACTATTGAGGAATAGTATATAAATGCAGTATATCGTGAAATAAAGAGAATTCTCCAACTTAGTGTTTAGCGTAAAATACGAGGCGTTTAAGTCTTTGTGTAGTCTACTAGTAGAGCAAAAGTGTTTGTGATAGTGCAGATATCGTTCCTTGATACGTGATTCAAGGAATTGACTTATTGATCGCATATTGCGTTATCTTGTTGCAAAGCTGTTTTGTGACACCAATTAAAGTTGTTAACTAGTTGTATCGATAGTAAATTATATAGCTTATTGAAAGTTGTTTCCCTATATAAACCCTGTAAATATTATGTTGCTAAATTGCTATGTGTGCACCACAAGTTTGGTGGTAGAGTATAAAAGAAGAAGCGAATGCTCAGCTCCTCAGTTCGTTCGTGATTAGAAAGTGTCTCGGCTACTCTACCTATGAAAGTATACTAAACTCTTAGAACAGTCTGATCCCTATGTGACACCAAGTACTATAGTACTATCGCACAGCAGATCTCCAGGTGTAGTGGAGATAGGAATACGTAATCTATTAGTTTAGGATAAAAGTTCGCGAGTTAAGTTTGTGATAACTATGAATTATATAATGCCGTAGCTGAGGGCCGTATTAAGTGCTGTTGTTAAGCAATGTACTAACGTGATTGATGACTTTTAAGTAGAGGAGTACTTTAACGTAATTTGTATAATCTGTAAGGAATTGTGATCGTAGGGACTAAACCGATTATTCGATTTATCTTAGCCACTTTCAACTGTTCTTATATGAGGGGAAGAAATCGGAAACCTTTTCCGTCGAACGGACGTAATAATTGTTAATTTGAAAGTCCATAATGCGGCCTTGACTATTTATGACACGCTAGAAATTTGCTCTATTTTAGCAACTCAAATTTCAAGTTGTAAAAGTTGAGGATGGAAATGACTAAAGCCAAATATTTTATAATTTTAATATCTTCTGTTGTTCTACTAATTTAAATGGCGCACATCAAAAGAATTTGTTGATGCTAGCGCTATTGAATCTTTAAGTTTCATAAATAATATCAGCTAAAAACATAAATGAACAGGAGACAATAGTGGTAAAAAGCGGAATTGTTTCCTCAACATGAATACAAATAATCAACTTCCGCATCTATGCCTTCAAGAGTTTTAGCAAGCGATATCAATCTTACCTAAAGGTTTATTAATTGCTCCTATATCCATTAAAAAAATAGATGCTAATAAATTATAAATATACGAATGGCTTCCGACTGATTCGTAGCAATAAATTTAAGGTACGCCAGATTTTATTCCTAAAAGCTATCCAAAATTTATTAGACTGGTCGATATTGGCTAGTATGAGAATTTCAAATGCCGAATTTTCATTTAAATATTCACAGACACATAAAAAAACACATCTATCATGATCAATATAATAATATGAATATGGTCATATATCAAATAATATTGCATGGCTTTGGTTTACTATATTTATGCTTTTAGGCAATATTCTTAGCTGGCTCATTTTACTGATGAAATAAATAGTTTTTATGCAAAATATATTTAGGGAATCTAGCCTGTTATCTGTAATTTATGGTAGCATTAGTCATAACATGGAAACATGCAGACAAACAAATTATTCTCTTTACACTTATCAATGTCATTTAATTACATGACTGGCATTAAATTTAGGATTAACGATGACTCTTCTAATTTAATTTGAGGCTTTAACTTAAAGAACTTCGCTAATTAGCATCCTGCTATAATTATCTATCAAATTTATTTTTCTAATTCCATTACTGCTAGATTAAAGCTTAAGTATTTCTCGTTTCAATTTAATGCATTTATGAAATTTTATACGTATTTATTATTACTACTGAACAATACGATTAATAGGTTATAGTTTATTAATTCAACCAACCTATATTGTCAACATCCTTGGAAAATTTCTAACAGTTAGGAAATGACTATTTGACATAATATACAGTATATTACACAAATACAAAAAATATAACTAAATGCCGATATCACAAAGCATAGCCTCGTTTTAGTTAGTGGAGCTGATCATGATGTGAAGTAAAATAACATCTTATAGTAATTATATTTTGTATTGGGTATTTTACATA